ACTTATTAAAATATATACCAAAGATTAATACACTCTCATGCATTATAATCATATAATACATTAGATAGCAAATATACATTAAAAATAATCAGATGCTGCACTAGTCCTTAAAAGAACTACAGAGTTAATTCTGAGGCCAGTAAATTTCACTCTTGTACCAATCAAATTTGCTGAAAGTATTACAAAGAATAAAATGAGTGGATGAACTGTAAATATGAGATACAGGGGGGGAAATAGCACAGATTTCTTTTCATTGACAAGTTTATTACAGTCCCTTGAAGATGTCAATGAGCAGTTAGTTCATCCATATGGATTTTCAAAATCTCTCAGAAAGATTCCTTGGCAAAGGCATGTAAAGCTGTCATGATCTAAGGGAGAAGATCTCTCATAGATTAAAATTATTATGAAAAACAGGAATCAAAGGGTAAGAATTAATGTTCTGTTTTCATAAATACATTTCCTATTTCAAGAAATTGCTCATCTCAGTAGGGTTGTACTACAGCTAGGAAGGATGTTGAGAAGGTCTGGATTAATCACTGAAATAGAACACCTTCCAAATGAAAAAGACAAGTAATCTAGAACTCTTCAACTCAAAAACAGACAGGAGGAGGAAGGAGAGTGATGTGTTAGATTCTATAATACCATGAGTGATTGCAGAGAAGATGATTAAATATTATTCCTTGCAATATGTAAGCTACAGAAAGCTCAGCGAAATTCTTGGGCAATGGGTTGAAGAGCAAACAAAAGCAGTACTCTTTGCATAGAGTGCATAATAAAATCATCACGCTCAGTACTGCAGAATGTCAGGGAGTCCAAAGTTTAAATGGATTCAAAAAGGACTTCTAGAACATTAACTGGAGACCCTTCAGTTCATGATATCCTAAATGAGATGGCTGCAAAATCAGGGGATACACTAAAAAGAAGGTCTCTCTACATACGCACTATTCTTGCCTTCCATGGTCACCGTTACAGGCCACAGTGCAAAATAAGAACCTTACCTAGGTGGGCATGAGCAGCTATGGAAGTTCATATTTGAAGCTGCCTAACAACACAAAACAAAAACAAAACAAAACAAAACAAAACAAAACAAAAAAAACAACAACAAAAAAACCCCCAAACTCTCACAGAGGGGTTGCAAGGGAACTCAAAATGTGAGAACAGCCAACCTCATTCTATACATGGTCTTCTGCCTGAATATGGCAATAAGTCTTCAACTGAGTTCTGCTACTTCAGATTAAAGTCTGGGAACAAAGCTTATTGGACAGGATCTTCCGACAACAAGGCTTTTTTATTTTGAATTTGAGACGTGGGTAAATTCTGTTTAAGTGATTCCAATTGATTGGAGTTGCAGCAGCATAATCTGGGGCAGAAGTGACTTCTTCGGTGAGCAACCCCAGATCAGTTGGAAGCTGATGGCCAGCTGAGGACAGTCACAGTGCATGGGGGCAAACATAAGGAAAAACTCTCTTTTGTGAAATATTGTGCCTACAGCAGTTCCAACTAGCAGCTCCAGCAGTTGCCATCAGACTTGGTCTTTGGTGGAGATACGGTTCAATGCTGAATTAGAACCATGGTTATCATGAAAAGGATTTTTGAGGTAAACAATCTCTATCTAGCTGAACGTGGTGACTTCTTAGTTTTGCTACAAAAAAAAGATTTCAAGATAGAAGCAGATATTTAATGCCTCTGAATATGCTGTAAGTTGAGGATTTTAGCTCTGTGATTTATGTCTTCTTATTCAGTCATTCTAATTCAAATGCAAGATATTAATCTTACAATTGTTTTCCAAAGAGTTTTTGCTACAGATCTTTAAAGGGTCCTAGGGGAAAAACAACTGCAAGGAGATGCTGTGACCATAATGAATATCTATAAACAAGCAGACTCCATAGGACTGAATAGGAAATGTGAATATCCTTATGAATGTTTTGAGTCGCATTACCTGTCTTTTACTGCAGTGAATATATGAATACATACCTCCTGTTCAGTTCAACACCACAAGCATATTCTTCCATATGGCTACGTATGAGTCCTAGCGCATGCTGGAGGAGGAGAAAGAAATCCCTCAGATGATAAACTCATTTATCACTCCTTTTGACTAACTAAAAAATGACACAAAGATGTTTTTAAAGATGACACAGTCTATAGTGTCTTTTCTAGACATATTAGGAATAGGTACTTCTTAGAGACTCGTGTCAGTCTTTTACATGTTCACCATGTTTTATACTGCCGGATAAAGAGCAAAATGCCACTCTTACAGTCTGAAGCTAAAAATGTGAGTGAAAAGTAACACATGCTTTTTTCATCCACTCTGAACCTGCACTTCTTTCTTTCCTGATCTAATCCAGAATGATACTTTTGCAGTTTATTGGTTTATAACAATTATTGACTTGTGATGTCAATTACAAGCAGAATTTTTCAGCAGAAAAAATGCTCATTTGATAGCATTTAGATTTCGAATCCTTCCATGTGAAGTGCTAATTTGATGGATCACCTGCCATACACAGTGCAGGGTCCAGCATCAGATGGCATCCAGCCTTATCAGCCCCTTGAAGTTTGAGATTCTTTATTCAAGCCCACAGGATATCATCATATACGGGCAGCCCTCCTTCCCATGAAGTGCATTGTGTCTAAATAAGTCACTTATGCACCAACTGTCATCTAAATTAGCAGCAGATATTGGTTTTATCTTAAGAGAAAGAATTACATTTAAAATAAGCAATCATTTTCCTTGCCTTGGCATAAAGTCAAGGGAAGTTTCCAGATTTAAGTACTTAATGACCAAATTAGCTCTGACAAGTGACAGCAAAAGAGAACAATACTTAGACTAGGACTAATTTAACATGTGTAGTATATACATTAGGACTCCTCTAGAATGATCTCTCCCTGGAGTATTTTTCTTAGGTATATGTGAAAAATAGATAGTTCCCTGAAATGACTATTTTCTATTTGAATTCAGCTTTTCTTTTTCTCCTATTTTTTGGTTCATTTTGGCTTTCCTCCCTTGCTGCAGAATCATGCTTTACTCCTCCACATCCTAAACCTCTGTTCTTGACCTTATTTATTTCTCCAACCACTTCCTCATCTATTTTTTTTTTTTTTAATCACGTCACCAAGAATGATACTGTATTCTAGGTCTTGTTCATTTTTATTCAATCCGAATTCCAACCACTGGCTCTGAGAGATTTGTTCAGTGCACGCTTTCACTCTTTCTCGAGAGGGAAGAGCTGACATTCACAGTCTGCTTCTAAAACAGGGCAGGTGGCTTCGGGGGTAGCCACCAGCATCTTCCTGTGAGTCTGAATAAGGTTCCTGAGTACCCCAAGGTCCTGACCTCGTGTAATTTGCTGCAGATGAGAGAGGGAATCCATGGTAAGGAGCTGAATGCTGGTCAGATAGGAATTTTGACCATTAAGACTGTCATATTCTGCAATTGCTTAGCTTACAAATTGTAGCAAATCCATATCTTGAGGCTGATTGACTAGGGAGGAGGATTAGTAACGTGTAAATTCTTGTTGTGCTCATATAGCTGCAAATGGTTTCATAGAATGAGGAATCCTTTTTAAAGGAAGGCCACCTACTAGCTTCAACATGCCAATACTGAGATCAATAGCTGGCACCTGGGGAAATGAAGGGGGAGTTTTGCTTTGTAAACCAGACTAAACATGGCACAAATTACGGAAGGGTAGCTAATGCAGAACATGAATCTGTCGATATCAGTCACTTCTTAAGCTGTCATTGGTATTTTGAAACCCCTGCATAACACTTTTACTATAACAACTATTACTTACATCTGTTTTTTTTTTTTTTCGGAAAGTCATTGGTGTTTTTTAAAATGAGGCTTTTTCTTTCCACGCAGTGAAAGCACACGTAAATACAATTTTTTCCATCCAAGTAGAAATATATGGAGTTGACTGAAGAACAGGTGGCCATGCTCATTTATCAGCTGCACCCCAGAAAGAGAGAAGTCTGCCTCTTGCACCATTTGAAGCAAATCTAACTCACAAATCTGTCACCTGCTGCAGTGAAGAGTTCACGTTCCTGCAGCCTGAATAACCATCCTTACAACATGAGATGGGATTGGGAATGAGATCTGACACAGAAGGAAGAAGGGTGGATGGAAGTACTTCCTTTTACTTCCTTGAGTGGAAGTAAAAATGCAATTCCACTCCTTCCCAGAACTCCTTCACTGCCTTTCCCCTCAATGGGTTTTAAGTGTGAAATATGGATTTGATATAAATGCTAGCGCTAAGAATTTATAGAAATTAGTTCAACAAGTATTATGTCCTGTTAGGCATTAGTTAGCTTAATTCTTCTAGAAGATTTTAAAGATCTTTCATGTTGAATATGTGACACAGAAGCTTTTCTGAGCAGGAATCTTGGACCTGAAGATATCTAGCATGCTTTTTTGAGCCCCTTGAAAAAAAGTAAGCCCCTTGAAACTCCTTGAAGCAAGTAAAACACCTAACGTCCTATACTTGATTTGAACTCACTGTTATCAGCACAAATCCCTGTTCAGGGTAGTATGAAGGTGAATAGACAAAGTGACCATTATAGATCAAATCTGGCTCTCTGATCCATGTATGTGACCTCACTCGGTTCAGTGAAAATCCATAGACGTAATTTAAGGCCAGACTTGTCACACTGTGAGGAAAGAAGAAGAGCAGGATTGCTAATGGCATTTGGAAGTTAATGAAGATACTTAGCAAGAGACAGCTGAAGAGATGGGTCATTACAGACACTTGCTCTACAGCCTGCTTTGCTGACAGATTTTTAAGCTAGTCTTCTGTTGCTTCAACAGGCATGGTATGATAGGTGTGCTAGCCAGGCACTGACACCTGGCTCATGGAGCCCTGCAGGGAATTTGGAGAAATGAACACCTTTGTCATGGGTTTCTAATCTGGTTTTGGTATGATCTGTACGCAAACACCTTCTCTGGTGTTTGCTCAGACTTTCTAGGAGCCCTTCAAGAGTAGACAAGTTCCTGGCATTAACCTCCCCACCTTGGGTTGCTTGTTGGGCTTTTGGCACTCGCCACGGAACTGCGTTCGACGTTGCTGTGTGCTGTCTTTGTTCCAGGCACTGCGGTGGTGACACGCTGCCTGGTCTCCCAGGCTCATGCTACAGTTGCGCTGTTGGCTTCTTTCTTCACCAGCCTAAAATTAGGCTGAGGAGAACCAGAACATTCAGGGAAAAGCTTCAGGTCTCTTTTTTTCAATTGAAAAACAGTTCTGAGTGAAGAATTTGGAGTTTTTTAATTGTTACATTTATTATACGGCACAAGGCTTGCAATTTGAAATCCTTTGCCTATGGGGAGTAAACTAGTGAAAGTCAAACTGCCCATCATTGCTCTGTTAATTACTTTTTTCCCAGAGCTATCCAACTTAAGACCAATTTCAGAAATTAGGGAACAGTTCATTTCCATTCCTCTTGGATGCTTCATCTATTTACCATAATAACAAGGAACTCCACTATTGCATTTTTAGTGTAACTATATTATCTCTTTTGTGCAATATCTTCATTACAATTGCAAGTGTCATCTGCCTTTTGTAGAGTACCATAGCAGAAAGGTAAAAATGATGGGAATATACAAGAAAATCAAAGTTACAGTAAAGGAAAAGGATAACCAAGAGTACCAATCTACCAGTAATAAAAATGAGCAGGTATTTTCCATTGACATCCACGAATTCTGAATCAGATTCTGAGGACATCGTCTACTTTCTAAATGTGATATTTATTCCCAGCTCAGAAGATAGGCTTCTGAGTAAGTAATAAAAAGTCTGTATAGTTTTCAGGTAACAGGAGCCACACTGTCTCATTTAGCTGGCTAAGAAAGATGAGGGAAAGAAGAGAAAATAAGATAACAAAGTCTTAAGCAGCAATGGCATGAAATAGTTTATTTGTGATTTCTATACCATCTCTGATTCTTACAGTTTTTAAATAAGATATCCAGGTGAAAATTGGCCAAAATCCAATGTGTCAAATCAAGCAGTACTGAAACAATTTTAAAGTGTGTTAGCTTGGCCAACTGGGAATAAAGCCAGATGCTTACTATAAAAATATGGCTATCACAATATATCCTGTCTTTAAAAAACAATCAAGAGCCTTGTTAGTTTCTCAGGGAGAAATATGAAGCAGAATTAAAAACACATTAGGTCATTAGAGAGGAGAAGAAATGTAGACCACTGTGTCTGTATAATCTTTATTTCATTGAAAGATTACAGCTAGCAAGGCTAGTAAATATGCGTGTGTGTATATATATATACATATATATGTATATATATATAAAGTATTGAGTGAATATTTTCCATGTTAAAACCAAGCTTTGTCAGAGACAATAAGCTAAAAATCAAATAACAGCTTTTGGGGTCTATGCCCAGGGATGACTACATTAGACAGGGAAGTCTCAGAAGACCTTTCATCTAATGGCATGAGATTCTTTTTCAACATTGTATTCCTAAGTGCACTAATAATCACTTTGATTATCTGAGGCTTTCACCACACTCTAAATACTTTAAGGGATGTAGAGATAATGTGTCATTGATTTTGTAATTCTTGTGAGGAAAAAAATTTTCCTCTTCTACTGTTTAAATCCTTTTTAATTATTATCATTTTTTCTTCAGTTTTAACATTCAGTTCCCCAGCTTGTTTTAAACACCTAGATTTGTTCACACATTACTTCTTCCTCTTGTGTTTTTATATTTTCTAGATGAGGTGGTCAAAAATTCCCAAACTCGCTATCCTGGTGTCCTTACTAGAGTTAATAGTGAAAGTACTTGGTGGTGCTTTAAGCTTTTCAACTCTAAAGTCAGGGGATGTAACTACTTGCCTGACAGGTGTTGTGGAAAATCTGAACAGTCATTTTTGGATTCACCTTTGTATGGAAATTTACATTTGCTTGCATTCCTGGCAAGTGGAGCAGCAAAAAAAAAAAGAAGCTCTCACTTGGATGCAGAAAATCTGCTATGCTATGACCTTATTTTGGAATTTAAAAAGAACAACACAAGCTTGGCTGAAAAAAAAAAGCAAAAAAGAGAGAGTCCATCTGCATTCCTTCCACACAGCAAGCAGCGAACACAATCTTTCCCTCTCCAAGAAGGCAGTAAATGTATAAATATATAAGCTAAAAAGAAATAAGTTATTTTCAGCAGTAAGGCCAGTGTTGATAGCCTATCCCAATACCATGCATAATTTAGCCTTCCTTTAAAGGTATTAGACTTCCATATATTTAACTATCGTACATACTAAATATTAAATGTGCTGTACATTTGGTATTGTCATATTAAATGTAGATTATCCCTACACATTCTGAATTCAGTCCATTCAGAACTCTGCCTGGGAAGCTATTCCTCCAAAGCAGGGTATTTGGACTGCCAGGGAAAACCCTCTCAGAGGCAGGGAGAGCTTGCTTGCAAGATGTTCTTCACACTGGCTTTGAAAGGCTCGTTCAACAATTGCAATGAAATTGTGCAAAAGATGGGGAGAATGCAGCAAATTGATTCAAGATATGCAATCCAAGGATCTCATGAATCTAAAGCACAAATTTAACCTTATTTCTGCCTGGTATAGTCAATGAGTTACTCATAAGAATAATGCTCTGCGTCTTCTTTTTTCCTGCATGCAAGCTCAGCCTTTGGTTAAGAAAATCATTTTAGATTAATTTGTCCTTGATAGTAAAGGATGAAAACTCTTTGTCTCTTGTAAACTGAGTATCATTTAAGTTATTGCCTAATCTAAAAATATAGAATTTTACTGAAATGACTGTCACAATGACTTTCTGCCTTTTATTATCTCCTGCAATGAAAAGTTTATGAACATTCAGAGAAGAACACAGTGCTTTTCATTACTTCTGTTAATGACTGAGGTGTTGGCTAATCCAGAGGGTAAGGATTCCTTTTTACCCTAACTTTACATGAGGTGATGAGAAATCCATCATAGTCTTTTAGATCAATAAATGGAGCAGAGCGGCTGGAAATCTTCATGAGCTCCTCAGAGGAAGCTCAGAGAATTCAAGAACTATGTTCTCCAGAAACTTGGTGGTGCTTCTTTCTGTGCTATCTTTATAACCCTTCTAAAGAACTTCCATGCTACATTAGCAATTTGACATTGCAGTATCACTTTTGGGGTATAGGTGTCCTTTAACCTCTTTTGGAGTGGAAGAATGAAGTCCAAACATCAAGGCCCTGACGGCACCAAAAGCCTCCGCATTCTCTTTCCTCCTGCTATAGAGGTTTCGCAACCTCTCTTCACCAGCTCTGAAATGGTATAGCTGCGGGACCTTAGCTGAAGGTTAACTGAAAAAGGAATCACAGAATTATGGAATGGCTGAGGTTTTAAGTCACCTCTGGAGATCATCTAGTCCAAAGCCCCTGATCAAGTCACTTAGAGCATGTTACACAAGACCATGTCCAGGCCACTTTTGAATATTTGCAAGGAGTAAGACTCCGCAACCTCTCTGGTGCTGAGTGCCCTCACAATAAAATAATCTCCCTTATGTTCAGGCAGACTTGCCTGTGTTTCAGTTTGTGCTTGTTGCTTCTTGTCCTGTTGCCGCACACCACCAAGAAGAGTCAGGCCCCAACCTCTTCACATGCTCCATTCAGGTATTTATACTCATTGCTCAAATCCCCCCACAGTCTTCTCTTCTTCAGGCTGAAGACTCCCAGCTCTTTCAGCCTTTCCTTGTATGAGAGATGCTCCAGTCCTATGATTGTCTGAGTAGACCTTCACTGAACTTGCTCCAGTAGATCCCTATCTCTTTTGTATTGGGAAGCCCAGCACTGGACACAGCACTCCAGAGGGGCCTTACCAGGACTGAGTAAGGGAGGATAATCACCTACCACAACCTGGCAACACTTCCTAATGCACCCCAGAGAACCACTGGCCTTCTTGGCCTCAAGGGCCCACTACTGGTTCATGGTTAACTTGTAGTCCTCCAGGACTCCCAGGTCCTCCTCTGCAAAGTCGCTTTCCAGCAGGTCCTGTGCAAGTGCACAGGGTTATTCCTCCCTAGGTGGTGGAATAACTTTCCCTAAAATTTATTGGGTTGGGTGTTGCCTGCCATTCCTGGCTGTTGTGTGAATTATGTAGTAGGTACGGCTGTGTCTGTGCTTGTTCCTTGCTGACCCTGCTTTGCTCACTGGCTTCCCAGCTGGGCCTCACACCTCCCTTGTCCCTACTGCCTTTTCTGGCAATTCTGCCTCTTGCCTGACTCAGGTTAATCTCACTGAACTTGTTCTGCCCTTCATGTTTACATACTGTGGGGCTATGTCCTTGCTGGTGAGGTCCTTGCTATGACCCTTGGCTCCCAACACTTCTTCCCAAGTGGGACAGGTCACTGCTGTTCCCTGGCAGTGAGCTAAGTCAAACTATAATAGAGCAATTTTATTCTGGCACCATCTAAACATGTAATTGCAAACAGCAATACTCTACTAAGGTACCCTCTGTATAAATAAAGATGACCAAGGGAGCTCAACAGGATCACCTGGCTCAAGCAGAAGCTGAACAAGAAGACTCTATACCTCATGTCAGTCTTCGTGACGTTCCACTCCAAAACATTGCATTGGGAAGAAATGTGGCAGTGGAATCTGTGGCAGCTAAAAACATGGCTTTTCTGGGAAGAAATCTGGATTTTAAACATCCCTGCTAGGAAGTGATGTCTAAGTCAACATTATTCAGTTGTATCTGGAGAAGAAGAGAAAGACAAATGTGCACATAAGAAGCAGGAGCCATGAGCTTCAAAAGAAGCCCCATAATAAAGCCAAATTAGTTTAAATTAATAAATGTGAACTAATGCATCAGGGAAAAAATGATCCTACCTATATTTGTACAACAATAGGTTTTAAATTACCTGTTACTACTGGTGAAAGAGATCCGGCAGTTTCTGCATTTAGTTCTTTGAAAATATCAGTGTAAAGCAAAAGACAAATCCAATGAGAGAAATTATTAAGAAAGGAAGAACTAGCACAATAGGAAGCATCGTTATGCTGCCACATAAATTTATGAGTAGTGTGCAGTTCAGTACTAAAAGCAACACCTGTCCCCCTGCCAAAAAGTGAAAAAATAAAACAGAAAAGGATGCCATTTTTTTTTGCATTAGCCTTGGTATGGCAGCAAGCTTCTTATATACTCTTATCAAAGACCAGATATGCTTTTTAACAGCTGCAGTCGCTATGAAGCTGACTGCTCTAGCTGCTAGTGGCACGTTGCCTTGAGTTTCCAGCACCTGGACTCTTCCTCGCCAGGCTATTGGGCAGCAATCCTTACAGTACTCTTGAGGCAGTTCTGACTAGAGTGAGTTATGATTAGTGCTCATTTTGGAAAAAGTAAGTCAAGCATATAGCTGGAGAATGGTTGTAACCATCTGTGATGTATCCCACCACATAAATACAATCCGCCTGTTTTTACTTTTACCAGGAAAAAAACCCACCTTTGCTAACAAAACAACACTACGACATAAACTGATGCTATTTCACGGCACAAGGCAAAACTTCAGAGCCCTGCTAACCAAAATTTCACAGGAACCCTGCCGAACCAAGTAGGAAATCAGTCTCACAGCCCATGACAACGGATTTATTTCTGACAAGAAACAGTATGGTATGTGGACTGAGGTGTGAGATTGGCAAGCAAAGCCAAAGCTGCGATGGCCATTTTCTGTCATACTGTCCCTCAAATACTCCTGGTGTGACTGTGTTTGGGGCGAGGTTCCTCCCAGCAGTGCTGTGTTACTTACACAGGTTTATGCCCTATAAGGGCTATTACTAGCGTGTGGGAAAGTGGGATGTTTGAGTTACCAGAGCTGCAGAAGACACCTAAAATTGCAATGCTTTCCATTGTATTGGAATTCCTGATTTCATTGCAAGACAGAACTCAAGCTATCATACTCATGCACTTTATAAATATTTTAAGTAAATATTTTTTGTTGGTCAGATGTTTTATGTACAGCAAGATCAGGAGCCACTCTCTAGCTCACTTTTATAATGGGGTAAGTTTTTTTACTATAGTTTATATTAATTCTGATTTATACAAGAGAAAGAGAGACAAGAATCAAGGCTGAGTTTCTAGATGGAAGCATTTTTATTGAAGCTGCCATTGTAGCTTTCTTATTTCCAGACACTAAATTTACTCACAGCAGAGTCTTTGTAAGTGTGTCTACAGCATTGAGGATGCTTCTCATAAGGTGCTTTTCTGAAAAAAAAAAAAAGGGAAAAAAAAAGCTTGTTCCCTTTTCTGATGCACAAGCAAAAAAATGGGACCTGATATTTCTGCCAGTCCAAAATCAAGGACATTAAAAATCTTTTAGAGAAAACGTTTTTTGAAGACACTACTCTAGTATGCATGATAGCATTACAGGTTGCAGATGTTTCCTTTGCTATGTATCACACCTGTAAAGTGTTTGCCTACATGGCCCTTTTGTGGCAATAAGATTTCAGCTGTAACCAAAGACAGAGTATCAAAATAGTGCTGGCATCAGAGATACCTGTGAAATGGAGAGTAAGCAAGACTTCTGATTTTGGCTTTGCCAAGTCAATTTTGCATGGCATATTCATATATTTTGTACTTTGCTGATACACTTAATTCATACACACAGAACTCCCTCCTTCACTTTCATTTGGAATGTCATCCCTTAGCAAAATGCTAAAGCTGGCTGAGAGAAGAGCTAGCATCAGTATTACACTATTTTTGCCTCTGTGTGTTTTGTTTGCATGTGATATTTTTGGCAGCTGCTTTGGAAAATCTACTGTACGTTTTTCCCGCAGTTGTCTTCTTTTCTCCCTGTGTTTTTTAGCATAATGAGATTCAGACAAAATTAACTCCATGTGGGGCACTAGTCTGTCTGGATTTAAGTGAGATAAACACTGAAAATGTAATTTTTGACTGTTTATGGCTGTTGGTATTGAAGAGGTCAAAGTTTACTGCATCTGCTATAAATAGCTCATCAAATGGCCCCAGCCATCTTCAGGCATTGGGGGTCATTGAATTTGTCTTTCTGAATTAGAGATCTGGAAGCACTGAAGTAAAGAGCAAAGGATGAAGGGGCGAGCTCTCAAAAAGGTTGATACCTACTGAACTGCTCATACTCAGATCTTGGAGAAAGGTAGTACTGCATATGTAAAAAAAATTACTCTTTGAATAAAGGGTTTAAATGGGACCTCATTTTGCACAGACCTTGTGCCAGTTCTCTGCCTAAGAGAGAATTTCGCACCAGGAAAAAGAACAAGACGTCTATATATGTGGCATTTAATTATACTACAGTTTTAGAAAAATGAAAGTGGATGCAATCTAATTGAAACATGCTTTTACAAACAGTAAATATATACCACAAAATGTGAGTGAAAATGATTTCTGATCTAAAATCTCTATTTTAATAGAGTTTAAATAGGACAGCTATGAACGGAGAGAAGAACGGACAAAAATCTAAAAATAGCAATCCACTATTAGCAACAGCCAAACACCCATTTAAACTCTTAACATAATTTAGCATGGCCTGGAACAAAGCCCTTAGTGTAAATTAGACTCCCTAGATGCTAAGGTAATAATGAGATACATTAGGAATTTTACAAAAATAAAAAATCAGATGGTACCATGGGCACATTGAGCAGATACAGAATTAATGGCACTTGGAGAACTCTCTTTGAGGATGCTCCATCTATGCACTGGGGAATACACTGAAACTTGTTCCTTGTGAACCAGGTATTTGCCTCTTGTCCATTTGCAGGCACATTTGGTTGAACTAGTAAGGTGGAAAAATTGGAATTTCAGCAGCTGGAGAGAGTTGAATGAGTGCTTGAAGGGATTTGGATGTCATTAAAGAGGTGAGAGTGGTAGAAAGAATTAAGGGCCGCTCTCCATATCACACTATGGTCCGGAGGAGGGGGCGAATGAAGTAGCTAAATTTTTTCAGGGTTATACTGATAGGCATTTTCTGCAAAAGTGATTTGGCTTAGCACCAGGAAAGTAACTTTACAGACGGGAACGTGTTGGGTTACTGCTTCTATTTCAGCAGAACTTGGGGTGAGATTAGGGCTGCACTAGGGTAGACGCAAAGCAAACAAATGGCCTGTACTCTGAAACATTTAAGCACAGCAGTCTCAGACAGAGGGAGCATCCCCAAACTAGCAGAAACACAGCCTGATAGAGAAAGGATTGATTAAATTGCCCTGTTGCCATCACCTTGAACACTGCAATTAGCACTTGTAGCTCCTCCTAGTACTGATCTCATATACAAGAATGACTTAGGCTTGGCCCTTGTGCCAAGGGGGATATCTAGGCCCTCCCAATACTGCAAGATGGGTCTTCCTAACACTTTACCATCTTTTTATTTTTTTACTTTTACTTTTCCATCTGCATAACCTCAGCAGTGGCCGAGAGGGCTTTGCCCAGCAAGGTGACTCATTGGAGGAGCTCCTGTACCTTTGGCACTTCTGTCTCCAGCAGTTGATCCAACATCCCCAAAAGCTTTTCTAACTTCCAGGAACAGCTTTGAAGGGGGGTATCTGCCACCATATCCCTGCATAGACAGGGATGGTAGAAGGGTAGTGGTAATGGTGCAGGAACCATTAAAAAAGGTTACCATGAAAAGGTGTAAGAGGAGCTCTGCAGTGGTCAGTTAGGGTGACCAGGTTTTATAGCAGCCTCATGCTGATGTAGGGAGCAGTGCAAGGCCTCACTGTGGGATAGGATCTAGGCCTTTCTGGTGACTTGTCCAGATTTAATACCTAATGGCCCTCCATTGGCCCAATAAAGTGAATAATCAGCACACTGAGCCACATTGTCAATAATCTGTATCTCCATTTGATATCTATGTTCTCAGGTATTCCTCAAAGATCACAATGCGATCACAATGTACACTAACAAGATTCGTCAACTTTTCAAATAAACCTGGAATTTGTCCCAACTGAAATCTTGAGAGTAAGTGCTCAGGAAGTTTAGCTGATCTCCTCTCTGCTGCTTTTCAGCACTGAATACTTTCAGAGTCCTGTTACAGCTTTCAAAGTAGTGTAAATTTATTGGAATTCTTTTCTCAGAGTGATCAAAAATGAAATGAGAAAAAGTCATATGAGAGAATATCTCATAAAAAAAATTCTGCCACTCTACTATGGAAAATCCAACAGGTTTGGAGAAGCCAACAGACTTTGGCTCATGGGACCCCAGAACTTTTGCACATTTTTTCACTAAATATTTCTTTTCAGAGGTGCTTTTAGGCCTTAAACGCTAGCGGGGCCCGCTGATTCTAAAAGCACATGGAAAGAAAATGTCTCTTCTCTGAAGAATTTACGCTTTACCAAAGTGAAAAAGACCATGTTTTCCACAACTAATAGATGAGGAATTGAGGCAGTGGGATATGTCTGAGACCATACAGAAAATTAATGATAGAATTGATAATCAAAAACAGATCTTACGTCTCAGCCTTGTGCCTTAATCACAAGAGCATACATTTTCTTTAAACGTATGGATTGCTGGAAATTTAGAATGACAGAGATGTGGCTAGAATGTGACACCTAAATTAAAAGACCAGCAGACTCTGTATATTCAGCCAGAAATACATCTGTGGAAAATCCTACTTTTAGAAAGACTTCACGAGAGATATTTGGAAGTATTTGCTGTGTTTTACAGAGGACTGTGCTGCAGAATACTGACAAACTCATTTTGAACACAGATTTTGAAACATTTTACCAGCCCCT